TGTTTATCTTGTTCCATACACACATTCACACCTTTTTCGAGTAACCTCATGATTGATATTTCAACAGGTTTAAATATTTTGATAAAGAATGATAATCTTCTTGACAAAGCAAAAATATTGTAGTGGAACAGATAAAATATATAGTAGGTATAGATACCGATGTTCAGCAGTGGATTTAGATTGGCTGATACAAATTAATGAAGTGTTATAATAAATATGTTTTTAACTTTTAAAAGATATCAAACTATATAAATACCGCAGATTTATAACAAAACCAGATTTAAGATCAAAAACCTAGGCTTTTGATCAAGAATTGCAAAAAGACAAAATTAGCACTTTATGTTATCAGAAACCTGAGGAAATCCATTAAACCTAGACTTTTTTTATAGAATAAGGGTGCCAAACGAGCACACAGTCCACTGATAGTAGGTGGATGCTGTAACACATAGACATCTACATTTATCCTTAATTAAGAATCAAAACGCAGATGCGTTGTCACCCCCGAAGAATAAGATGAATGCCTCGTTTTCAGCAAAAAAAGGTCTCCGGATCTCTGCACTCATCAACTCATCATACCTACGAAAGACAGCAGTTTTAAGCTGCTATTTAACGCTGGTATTCTGTGAGAGCGTGGTCCTTCCCCGGTCGAGCCGACCTATTCGTGCTACAACCATAATTTAGCTGCAGCGTGGTGCAGCGTCTACCACGTATAAAAAACTGATTTAGTTTTGTGATAAAATCAGTGTCGGTTGCTATTTCTTAAAATTATAATTTTAGATAAGCTAACCTAGCCTTAGCCTAAATTTTATCATAAACATATAGAAGTTTAAGTTTTTGATCAAAAAACAGGATTTTTCGGGTTAATGTAATGATTAAGTGATAACTTTTTTCTTATTCCGGTTCTTGACCTTTTAAGCTTTACAACACATAATGCTTTAACAACTTGAAGCTTTAACCAAAGGTTTTCGATCAATTACCAAATTTTACCATAAACCAGCGACGTATATAAAACTATTTAAATAATTCAGAGCATAGAATGGCTTCCTACCGTCTCTTCATTTAAAGTACAAATGAAATACGGATTTACTTGTTTCAAATCTTCACAAATACAAACATCAAACAATGTAAAACAACAAGACAGTTTCAAATGAACATCCAAAACAAGATGATGAAAGCGTCTCATTACTTTTGCAGGAAAGGATGAGAACAAAAGAGCTCCCAACGCTCTAAATGTTACATTTTAACGGAAAATATTCCGATCCAATATGACGAGGGTTTTGTTTTAACTTGGTTATATTTTACAGTGATGTTTGATTTGCTGAACATATAAGTCTTCCTCATTGGTGGCCTATACAAAAAAAATAAGTCATTTCCCACGCTTGGAATATAAATACTAACTAATACTTAGAAAAAAATTTCATGTCCTACGCGGGCCCCGTCCTTGCCCACGCAAACCCTAATATTATAAATGAACTCCAAATAGTTCAGAACCACTTCTGTCGTCGAGCTGCGAACGCACCTTGGTACGTCCGTAATGCCGACCTTCATCGGGACTTAGAGCTCCCAACAATTCAACAATTTTTTAAAAAACTCTCTGAGAACTTCTTTAAAGCCTCAGAATCGCACCCAAACCATTTAATTCGTGAGGCAGCTTCTTATGCAGCCCCACCCCCCTCTCGCTATCGTGTCCGCAGGCCGAGAAACTCTCTCTCGGACCCGCCTAATAAACTGTCAAACGACCTGAACTGTCTCCTGGCGGCTCAGGCCAACTCTAATTAAATTAAATTATTGTATTAACCAACATTAATTTGCCTTCGTAGGCACTCCCTCAGCGGCTCTTAGCCGCCTGCGCCCTCTTTTCCCAAAAGAGGGTCGCTCATGATAAGGCACAATACAGCTTAATCAGCCGGCTGCCTGTCCCCAAAGGCGGTTTTTAGAGGGTATCACTTAGGGTCCCCGGTAGGACAGTGAGCCCCTCATAATCAAGATAGACCGGCTATCGTGGTATGCGTAATGCATTTTCCGCCTCCCTACGTATAGGGTAGCCCTTTAATTGCTTCGGGCGCAAAAAAAAAAAACGATTTTTTATAACAAAAAGTTTTTAAACGTTTTTTATTTCTAAGTTGTTAGGCAGACGCTGCTGTTCATGCTCTGAATGATTTCCTCCTGTCGCCACTTATGATACCCATAGTACCACATGGGATAGTGGATATTCTTACAACAACACTACACGGTCGATAATCGAATATAATGAACAAATAGTAAAATAAAATATTGACAAAAATTTTCTTTAAAGTTTTAGAACAAAGACTGAATACTACGTAAAAACGATGCTAAAATAATTGTAAACTCACGCATATGCACCGAAAACCATGTTTAAATGAAAAACTTTCGTTGCTAATGATTTCAGAATAAAATCCTTATTTTAGATTAAAAAATCCTTTAAAAAACAATATTCCATCCATTTAACGGAAAATTAATAAATATCTAATTAATTGATTAAATACAAAAATTCTAACATAAATTATTTTAATTATTACATACCTGATTAATTAAAAAAATAAAATCCATCCATAGTTTTATATACCTGATAAAGAACATAAAGGTGTCATCTAATCAATTCAATTCAATTTATTTGCTAATCTTGTTGTATACATATGACCCTGCAAGGGCACTGCAAAAATTGGCAATTATTATTATTATTACATTTACATTATGGTATTATTAATAAAGTTATCAAGTAATGAATATTTACAATTAACTTAAATATTAATTTTGTTATTATATAATCGGCTGAAAGCCAATAATTTATAAACTATGCTCTCGAGTTTGTTAATCACATAGGTACCAACTTGCTAGCGCTAATGTGTGTGATATAAATAAATCTGTCCAAAGCAAAAACTAAATTAATTCCAGGATTAGGTATTATTTATATACTGAATAAAAACGATGAGTAAGAAACAATACTCACAAAAATGCGATTTCTACATGAATACGGGGAAAATTATTTTGTGGTAGGTATTGGTATTTACTATTAATGAAAAATATTTCGAAGACATGTGAATATTCCGCCAACACGCATTGGGGCAGCGCGGCCGATACTTCCTTGCTCTAAAACCCTCGCTGTAACTTTACTTTTTAATTTTATTAAACAAAATCTGTAGAAACGTAAATATGGCACTTACTTGTTTCGTGATACTGAACGAATTTGTCACATTACAAACTGCACATAATCGTCCACCATTCATTCAAAACACTCAATTAACATACTATAATAGTGACATAGAATAATTATAAGTACATAATGACTCCAAAAATGTGCACCCACTTAAACACCGAACCACAGACTGAACTAACATACCTGAACCAATCTGGACAGATAAAAAATATTTTTGACAAATGTGTTTTTGTTCCCATGTCAAAAATGTTGGGCGTATCGACCCCCTACCGATTCTACCCTTACAAAAATATGTTTGCTGACGCAACTAAACCCGTTTAACAGTAATAAGAATTTTTAGAGACTAGTTTTCTGTAAAACTTTTAACAACACCAGCAAATGATCAGTTTTGATTGACATGTGTTACTGCGAAAATATTTGTTTGCGATTTTGTGTGTTCTTAGTATATAAATAGAGTCAAATTTTGCGTATTCAGTGTTACTGTTTTCTTAAAAGAATTCAATCATTTTCAAGAAATGTTTACCTGAATCCAAGATAAGGCTAATCGGTTATGTATTGTTTGGTCACGAAATGACGTAAACGATACCTTACAACAATTTTTATATTTTAGTAAACAGTCATTACTTTTTGTTACTTTTTCTGTTTTTTTTTTTATTTTTTTAATAATCTTGTCATAAAGTTTAAGTGGCATCGGGCATAACACTATAAAAAGGAGCAGCGTCGGTACGTAAGTGATTGTAAAAGGTCGTAAATCTATATTTAAAAAAAAATAAAAAGATGTAAATGGTGCAATTCAAAATAAAGGTTCTAGATCGTAATAAAAATAACAGTGTAATATATTGAGAGCCCAAACTGTTTTGGGTTAAGCAGAGATTTTTTATAATAGATTTTTTAATAAGTAGAAAACCAGGCCAAGGATTTGTTGGGACATATCATGTATGCATTTAGTATATTGTTACATATTTTTAAGAAAAAACTGTACTTAATAAGATAATTCTTAGGTTTCCCAAGACTAACAACTTGCTTTTATCTTGGACTCTACTCTTATTTTTTTTAAAGAATCAATTAAAATAAATCTAATATAGTTATCATGACGTATAAAGGTACATAGTGTTGGTAGGTTGGTACAATAATGATTATAGAATACGATCGCGTGATATAATTGTAATAAGATCTGAATGCTATATCACGGGTTCTGGCTTAGATTTTAAGCTGGAGTCTATATTTGACATATTGCAAATCCGTAAGTGTTAAATATCCAAGCTGCCACCACGTATGCCACGGGGAGTGCTCTGAGGAATTGTTCGGATTAATGCCAGCCGCCAAATTTCGTGAACGCACTACGTGGCAAACGTCCCGATACCATCCACACCATCTGGATGCTTGGCGGTCCACCACTGTACGTTTCACAAGGAGTTTTCTTCCGCGTACGACCTCTCTGTGGAATAGTTTACCAGCGGCAATTTTTCCGGACCGATACGACCTGGGGACCTTCAAGAAGAGAGCTTACTCCTTTCTAAAGGGCAGGCAACGCACCTGCAATTCCCCTGGTGTTGAGGTTGATCATGGGCGGCGGTAGTCACTTACATCAGGTGAGCCGCATGCTCGTTTGCCCCCCCCCTCTATAAAAAAAGAACAGCAGCGTCAAAGATGTGAAGAGTCAGATACTGCGATCGCCAATCCACCTGCCAAGCGTGCCAAATATGACAACTCTTATCTGTAACGCGGGCTTTGCGGGCTGATGAGAAAGACAACTGAATTCTGTACGAGAACCTAAATATACAACGTAAACAAAGATGTACCTACCTAAGTAAATAACAAATCAAAATTGCACTGGCAAGACTTTTGCAGCGGCGCTGCTGAGACGCGTGCTGAAATCCGGAAACAGTTCGGAATCACGGAACAGTTGTAGGTCAATAAACGAAGGCTATACAAAACATTTATTTATTATATCAGACCTGGAAATTTGTATCTATATGTAATTAATATATCAAGAAAATAATGCAGGCAAAAGTATTAGTGTGAGAATTCAATTTTTCATTAAAAATGAATAGTTAATTTTATAAGATTTATAAAATAAAACCTTTAACCTTACAAGTATTACGTCGGTATACTTCCTGCAAACACTGCTTTTTATCATAATCCGCAGATAACGTATCTTCAAAAACCCAAGTGCATTATGTACTCAGACAGATTACCGATAAGTGAGTCCTTCCGTAGCCCTCTCCTACGTATTTGTGTAATATCATAACATCAGTAAGAAGTATCGTTGAGTCATAATGCAAAATCACGGATTTCTGCACAATACCTGTTGTTAAGCGGAACACTTACTCACTTTTAATGTACGTTTACTTTTTTGAATTCCCAATAAGCTATCGCTGTTTGATTGTTTCCGAAGTAATTTTTTTAAATAGAATGAGGGTGACAAACGAGCACTTATCTCATCTGATAAATTGATACTGTGGCCCATAGACATCTACATCTATCCTCAATTATTAATCAAAATTTAAATGCGTTGTCACCACTGAGGTAGTCCTCAGAAGTGGCAACGAATTTAATATCATAGTAAAAGTAAAGTTACAGCCTATATACGTCCCACTGCTGGGCACAGGCTTCCCCTCATTTCTGAGAGGGTTTCTATATCATACGTAATCTAATATACGTAGATGAAATTTCTCGTATCTAGTAAAAAATGTCTCCGGCTACTCTTCTCACTAACCATACAATAATACGAAACACACCAGTATATTTTGCGTTAGTTTGTATATTTATCTATTTATATGAAATGTTCATATAAAAATATTAAAAACATTAAAACCGTTGGAATAAAAATTTTACTACGTATTCGATTCTTCATAGCACTTACTTGTGGTCCTGAGCCTAATCTGTTGCAGGGGGATTTGTTTGGCAGACGTATTGATAACCAGCCTATACCATACAACCCAACGTCTAATATCACTGTAATACGTAATAAAGTATAATTTGATTAAATAAACAAATTATAAATAGTGATTTTGCAGACCGTGTAAAGAAAAAAACTCCATCGCCACATATTTTTATAGAAAAGGGGAAAAACGAGAACGCGGCTCACCTGATCGTAAGTGTCTAGGTAAGTGTTATAATGTGGTTGCAGCACGAATGGCTCAGCTCAACCGGGGCAAGACTACGCTCACACAGAATACCAGCGTAAAATAGCAGCGTAATGCTGCTGTGTTTCGTATGGTGAGTGTAGTGAACCGGAGACCCTTTTTACTAGAATCGAAGCATTCCATCTTAGTCCTCAGGGGCGACAACACATTAGCATTTTGATTTTTAATTGAGGATAAATGTAGATGCCTATGGGCCACAGCATTCACTTACCATCAGGTGGACTGTGTACTCGTTTGTCACCCAATGCTATAAAAGTAGTCGTGCGAGGAAGAAAACTTCTAGTAAATCATACAGTAGTGGACCGCCAAACATCCAGATGATGTGGATGACATATCGTCCTGTTTGAATCGTAAGGGTCGACTACGAGAAATGCTTGAAAGATCTTATGTATCTCGATAGATGATGGAATAACCCTTTCCTTTATTTTAGTCCTAGAATACAGCAGTGTCTGAGGTCGAGGGGGATACTGCGAATGCCGATTCGCCTGAAAACTACCGATTTCAATAAATCGCTCCTTTTTTACAGTAATTATTCGCACATATGTTCTCCTACACATATAAGTCTCCCAACGGACAGTTCTTATGATGAACACGGGTAAAACAAAAGTCATGTGTAACGCCCATGTTACACGGTAGTTGTTGGGAGGATTAAGCTCGAAGTTGTTTAAGAGTATGTTTACCTGGGACAAATAGTCTCACTAGATAAGTTCAACTTCGACCGAGAGGTCAATCGAGGGATTTAACTTGTCTGAGCAGCGTTCGGGAGATTGCGACCTATCTTCTCGTCAGGGATATCTCGATATTTTAAAACAACATTGTGCAACCAGTGCGTGTTGTCAGTGATGATCTATGGATCTGAGACGTGGTTCTTCACTGTTGGCTGAATGAGAAAGCTTGCTCAGGAGGATTGAAAGGTTGCTCAGCAAGCTATATAATGCTCAGGGTTTCTCTCCGTGATAGACTTAAAAATGAGTATATCCACAGTAAAACCAAGGTAACCGATGTAGCCTAAAGGATTAGTAAGCTGAAGTGGCAATGAGCCAGCCATATAGCTCGAATAACCGACAACCGATGAGGAAAAAAGGTTCTCGAGTTGCCTCGTACCGGTAGGCGAAGAGTAGTGCGACATGAAGGAAGTCGATGGATGCAGGTGGGTCAGGATCGTGCATACAAGCGGGCAGCTTGTACTACTAACTACTAAATAGATATAGCAATCTGAGATCGATTAATCGCAGAATCGGTTTCTTGTGCCAAAAAGATCGATACTTTAAATCGATATACTGAATCTATCTAATGACTCAATATTTCATCCTAGAAAATCGAGATCGAACCTTTTTCTGTTTTTATAAGAACTGTAAAATTATTTATAATTAGTTGAATTTACCCAAACTCGTAAAGAATGACAGTTTTTCTACTCAAAAACTCACAAAACTGCTGTGCTCAGTTTCTTTCGCCTCTTAGTAATGGATTAAAGAAATAAAAAATAAGTTACGTTTGTAATCTGTACTTTGTTGTATCTTTTGATATTGTAAATATAAGCTCTGAAAGCAAATTGAAAAAAGATCGATTATTGAGAAATCGATTTTTTGTGAATCGACTCATCATATTTTGATTCGAATCGATTTAAAAATCGATCTTTTTCGGAAATAATCACTATCCCTACCACTAAAGGTACTCTGTGTTACTACTGAAACTTCGAATGCCGTGCTGCCACACACGTTCAAGTAAACTAGCGCAAACGCAAATTTGCACAAATTTGGAAATCGAAAATAGAAACTTATTAAAACTTGTCTACTACTACTAAAGTCAAAACTTGCGCCAGTATATCATTACGTCTATGGCTACCTTTAAAGATACGAGGATAATTCCCAAATAGAAAAAGTAGTATATTATCGAGTCTAGAAAATCATCAATTTGTGTTTGGCACAAGTATTGACTGGCTTGTATTCGAACCTATAACTAGCGAAAGGTCAGGTACTTCAACTGCTATCTGCAAATGAAACTACAAACAGATACAAGTTTATTAATATGCATAATTTTATCTAGAATTAAGCAAGCAATTTCACTGTCTCTCCAAAGTTTATCTTGTGACGGAAACGTGGTGAAATTATTATCTGCGTAAGATTTATCGACGTTGTGAATAGCATTTAGCGAGTTCCCGCTAAAATGTTTGTTTGCTTTAAGTTTTCTATTTATTGAAGACGTCACACGTTTTACTTGCATCCCATTTGTTTAAGCAGATGGATAAACTGTTTACGACATTGTTTACTGCTTAAAATTTTAAGAAGTTCGTGAGTTAAATGCTTATTAATATACTATTACGTCTTTGTGTTTATGAGGTTATGACTTGCCTGTGTTTTATCGTAATGTGAATGTTTCCAGTGACTTAGTATGGTGGTGGTATGATAATCTTAATTTGATGCTGCTTTTAGAACATTGAAAAAACCACACAATTAAAAGAACCGTTTTTTATTTTCATTAAAATAAAGCTGTATAATTGCACACTACAACACGCGAGCGTGTGAGAGTGCTCTACTCTCGACATGCCGCTATTTGATAATTTTGCAATAAAAAATCTTAGTATGTCTCAATTTAGACAATTTAGAAAAAGAAATGTTTAGAAAACTAAACATATTGTATTAGAAAGTCGGCTTTTTCCCTTTTTTAGTTATATTTACAAAAAATCTAGTTAAAATTTAAATGTTGGCGTTTCAGATAAATATACGCAACGAAATGAAATAAATCTTTCTGAATAAGTTTCCATTTATCCTCAAGATGATCCCTATTGCTGGTTGTTGTCAGACTCATAGATGTTTAAAATAACTATTTTTTCATATACATTTCATTTAATAAAAAAAAACGCTCATGAGTCGTGCACTTTTGAATTTTCCAAATATATTTATATCCTGCTGGTCTGGGAATTATGGGCCCCATATTTATGTTAGACTTAATAAAACACATTGTGTCAACGGTGCAACCTGACTGACATGTTTCAAAATGCTACCAATGGGTTATTACTTATTAGGTTTCTGACTGTATAGGCGTTCGTTTATTATTTCTTTCACAATTTTGCAGCTTATAACATATTTTTGGCTATATATGGTCCGAGTAACTCGTTGCTTTTTGGACCCTGCCTACTCACTCAAAGAATACAGGCGCGTTTTGTATTTTTATATTCTAAGCAAATCGGATACAACAATGATGTATCCACAGATTTTATTTACGCTAACTGTATTTAAACTATACGCTTATGTTTAATTCACAACTTGCTTGCACGGCTCCATTTCAAAGCTCCATCCTCCGCTTTAAAAAAACACATAATACAAAAAAAATGTCACCGCCTCAAACAAATTGAATAAGGACCACATATTCGAATTCCAGATGGAGTTGAATAATGGAACGCGTATGTCACAAATAAGAAAGAGTGACTGCGCGTCTCTAGTCCTTTGGTCCTATTAAAGGATAATTTAGTTTATATTGTCATCGCACAGTGAAGTAATAGCATGGATATACCATTACTCAAAATAAAATGAAGCTTGAAATTTTAACAAAAAAATTCTGCTCTATGCTCTATCTTTGTGCTACTTCTATTATACTTATATTTAAATATTATTAAATACGCTCTCAGGAATGAGACGAGGCTCGTGGGCTATTACATGTTTTTTTACTATAATATTATTAAATATTACTCTCTCTTGTTCAATTATTGGTCACATTAAATTTTATAAAAATGCACATGTGTTGTAAATTGCTTTCAAATTTCAGAATGATAAGATCTCCTGCTGTATTAATGTTATGTTTTGTTGTTGTGTATCTTTGTCCATAAAATTGTATTGATTAATGATTGTTTTTTTTTATAACGGTTAATAAAAATTGTGATGCATATAACTTTTAGTATACGTCCGTGTAAGCCTAAGTTAAAGATTGGAGCCCAAATATGTTATATATTATATAATATTATAGTTGTTTCAATGCGCTTACCATTAGGTGAACTTTTAGCTTATTTATTATGAAGATATTGTAAAATAATCTTAAGAATAATTGAATTGTGTATGATTTTATCAATTAAAAGAGAATGGTAATATTAGGCTATGACTTTGACAGTGATATTAATTCTTGAACAAAAATTAACATCGCCCTTTTCAGTAATTGTTAGTAATGACCTAAACCTAATTTAAAATAAGTATTATAACTTCATTAAAATTTGCTGATTGATGTTTGATATTAAAATAATTGATAAATTAATTTAAAACTTTATATAAATGAATTAGTCTTATCCATATTCATAATAACACATCAAATACAAGAATAGCGGTCAATTGAGAAGGATTTGGCTTCATCTTAGCAGCTGAACTTCGTTACAGCAAAATTATACAGAGGAGTTCAAAAGTAAACGTATTATTTTCGATTATAACTCTATATTCTATTAGCTCTGTAAATTTCTGAAAATGATTTTCTTCATCTGAGAGACGTATAAGATGATACAGTAGTAGTAGATATAGATGATGATTATAGATAGATGTAAAATAAGCTTTGGTGTTCAATGTAATATATATATATATATATATATATATATATATATATATATATATATATATATATATATATATATATATATATTGGGATAAAATTACACGTGGGACAGTCAGAGTTGTAGGTCGTGGGTCGAATTCGTCGAAAGAAAGAGATTATTACATTTATATAGATAAGTAGATTTAGAAATTGTTGGTTTTAGAAAACTGTATATCTTATTACTCTGTACTGAAACAGATGACTGTATTCAACACACGCCATTTTTATCCACTAAGCACTAATACATGTATTAACAAAATCGTATCTGGTGACAGCAGCACTATATCAGCGGTGAATCAGAAATGAACACGGTCATTTCTGATTCACCGCTGATATACTTACTCTCTTCTGAACAACTTTAAAGTTGTTCAGAAGAGAGTAAGTTCTTCATGTTAACGTTTACATAATATTAAAAAGTAAAACAAAAACGAAGAAACTACTCAGCTTCCGCTCCGAGATGTGACCCTGGAGATGGGCGACCACCCTTTGCGGTTGTCTGTTACAGGTGTACACGTATTGTAGTCGATTCTGATCACGTTTTTTTTATATGAGAGGGGCAAACGAGCATGCGGCTTACTTGATGGTAAGTGACTACCGCCATCGCTGTGGTATCGATAAAAAATGGTGATCACTCTATAAATAACTAAATATAATGAACTAAAATAGCTTATGATGATATGGTAAGTCCGCAATAAGAATTGAGGCAGCGTGGTGAAAAAAACTCGCCATAAACCCTATTAGAAATGAGAAGAATAAAAATGTAAGCTCAAGAACGATTGGATGTAGAGTCAAAGAGAGAAATCATCACAATGCGTCCAGATACGGCAATTTATAATAAACATCTTATGTAAACCCATTTCTACAACTATGACTTAAGGGTTTCGGAATATTTGTAGTTATTATTTATTATGTAACCATAGAAAATTTACTGTAGTGCATGTAAAAATATAAAATGTGGTAAAAACGTAACCATAAATTATCTCCTCAATGGTACAAGAGTGATATATTATTTCCCCAGCTCAAAACCAACAAATTCTAAACACTCTGTATATGTAGAACAGACTGCACCGGACAGTAAGTATGATTAATAGTTTCGTGGGACAGGTCAGGACTCGAGCTTCGCATTATGTCGACACTGGCCTTGTCGGGATCAGTTTCATTAAAAAGATAAAAATGTTGTATTACGAATACTTCCTTGGAATTCTGAGAAAAAATATGTTGGAAACTTGTCTTGAGTGACGTAAATAATAATACAGGTGTTGTTTTTAAAGTGGTTATATGAAAAAACTATTGTGTATGTCTAGGTAATGGTGATTGCTTAATTTGCTTCTTTATTTTTTAATAATCATAATTATTAACAAAACACACTAATGAATTAAATATTAATATTTTATCTTGTTTTTTAGTACCGGTAGTTAGCATAATTCTCTACTTATCATATTCTTCATCAATCTACTTAGTCCACCGCTAGACATGAGTGTACCCTGTTAGGAGAGGCCCTCGTCCAGCTAGAGGGAATTGCTTTAATCGCTACGTTTGTTGGTTGCAGTACCAAACGAAAATTGTGTTTCGTATGCAGAGTGTCGAAAATCGGAAACCCTTTGTCCTGTTAACGAGGAACGAGGCATCCCTTCTTAGACCTCAGGGGTTACAGCACAACCGCATTTTGATTCTTAATCGAAGATAGGTGTTTAAATACTACAGCATATACTTACCATCAGGTGGATTGGGCGTCACCACGTCGTTTACTTACTCCTACTTTACTTCTATAATAAAAAAATCTTTTTACGCAGATCCCCGTTGCTTCTACAATTAATGCTAAATTCTTTCTTATTTGATTTAAAGTCTACTCGTTATTCTAATTGTAAAGATAAAGATGATATGTCAGTACATTTGCTTACCTTCGTACATCTGCGCGTACTGGGGGAAACCGGCCGCTCGAAGCCATTTGCACGCCTCCGCCGCTTCGATCTCTGCAACCAAAGATAAATAAATTATAGAAATAAATATCTCATCATCGATGTTGTTTCAAAAAGTTCGGTTAATACGTCTGTTTTTAATAGTACCAATTTATAGTGTAATTAAGTGAGTGTAATTTTTACTAGATTCGATGTTAATACTCGTAATATGCTGGATTCGCTTGCGGCAACATTCAGCAAACAGACGTACTGTTAGGAATTAGAATGATCTACTCATGTCCACAGAACATTATTCTCTCTATAAAGGTATAAAGACAAAACATAGTTTGTCCTTACACTTAAAAATAAACCTTTTATATTAATTATTTCGCCGTCCAAGCAACAATGTCTGCACTGTTTTGTCCGATCTGAAGGACATAGAGAGCTAGTATATTCATAATCCGTAAAATTAATTCTATTCGATATCTAGTATTCGTGAAGTTGTACAACAATATTGTAAGTCTGCGATGATGATATTAAATAAATATTGTATGGAATGGTAGATACCGCCCTCTATCACTGGCCATATGGTTTGTCTGACCTTCTCCATAGTGAACTTTTACCACACCCATGAGTATTCCATTATTAACCCATGGTTACGGACTTTCTTAAGCCGTTACACTGCAATATCATCGTCATCATCATTACAGCCCTTTAGAAGTATACTGCTGAAGATATGCCTCCCCCAGGAATGCCGCAAAGCACAGTCATGAGTAACCTGCATCCATCGACCTCGTGCATGTCTTACTTGGTCATTACTCCATCTAGTGGGAGGCTGCCCTATCGGTACGAGGATGTCATTCTAGAACCTTTCTTCTTGTCACTTCAGCTTACTTATCCGTTGGGCTATGTCGGTTACTCTGGTTCTACTGCAGTATCCTCATTTTTAATTTTATCACGCCGAGAAACCACGAGCGGTCAGTTAAACTGCAATAAGCTTTGTTATTATGTGCTCCTGTGTACACAATGTTATGTGCTCCTTTGTACGCTATGCTGCTCCAGTAAGTGTTGGTAGATTCCATGTGCCTTCGACATATTTCTATGCACCAGACATGCAGGATTCCTAACGAAGTGTTCCTTCACCGCCGAGCACATGGTAAATCAGCACTTAGAATTGCAACTAACAATTTCTTTGGTGCTGGCGAGATCAAACCCGAGTTGTCCGTGTACTGTGAAATTTCAATAACCACTTAAACAATGAGCTATGGCTTTTGGGATATATATATATATATATATATATATATATATATATATATATATATATATATATAGTATGTTGTATGTGTGTGTTTTCAGCTGTATAAAAATATAACAGAAGTACTGTTTTTGTCTGCTTTTATGATTTGGATACAAACAAACAACTACGAATTATATCAAAAAAGAATCATGATTAAAACTACTTTTACGGATTTTATCGCGTTTATTTTTACTTTTTATTTACTTTTATTTTTAATTCCCGACGTTTCCTTCACCCATGGTCACGGGGGACCCCGTGACCGCTGGAAAGCGCCCGAAACGTCGGGAATTAAAAATAAAAGTAAATAAAAAGTAAAAATGAACGCGATAAAATCCGTAAAAGTAGTTTTAATCATGTATAGTGTTCGCGTAAATATAAGAAATCATTATAAAAAAGAATCACTTATACTAATATTTTAAAATAATTGACCGAAAAACCTACCGTCTGTGACAACATGGCCCTTATTACAAACACATTACAACGGGATAGTATAAAAACAAATTTAAGCCACAAAGGCGTACGCGAGTGGCAATGTAAATAAAAAAGGGCCCCAAACCAAACTATGACAAACGAACAAAATACCTTTCTCTTAATAAATATTTATAAAAACTCGGACCAACGTAGTCTAAAATATTAAATGGTAATTTATACTAAAATTAGCCTCCGTGATAGGCGTAGGGCCAATCAAACCTATTGTGAACTTGACTTCAACAAATGTTCATAGTATAATGGAAAGAAAAGCGGATTTAAATTAAGGTTGACACGAGACATGAGATGACTGTTCAAGAAAGTATGGATGCGGTAGTTTTTTTAAGCATGGTACAGATAAAATAATGTCTCCAATAATAGTTCGCCGCTGGATTGCTCCCTTTTACAAGCTCGGGGGAATGGTGTAGTAACTGAACATGGCGGATTGTTAATCGCAATATAAAATGCTACTCATTCGACTTTTTTCTACTCAGGTTGCTTTCAGAGTAGTGCAGAGCGACCTCACGAGTTCTGGACACTGATAGCTTATGTGTGGCGAGGTAAAAAACATTGTTTTAAAGTCGTTGCTAAACGATGTTATTAAACGTTTCAGAGTATTGCTGGGATATCCAGCAAATATATTTAAAAATATTTACTTTTGATATTACCTCCTAAAAGTAACCTTACATTCGTCCATATAGCTGTAATACCAATAGTATATAGTATGAACTACATAACACATACATAAAGTATAAAATACAGTACAGATTATGTCCGAATAAATATTATACCATTTTTGTAATAATCATTTTATAGATGTAATGTCACGTCACCAGCAAAAGAAGATTTAGTGTCCCGTTTAGCATCGAGGCTGTTGTGATCTATTTTGAGGTCAAATACAAAATATTTTTGAATGTCTTAAAGTATGATTAGTTGTAGTGATTAGTTCAGTGGTAACTATAAATATGTTACAAAATCAATAGTTATGTTGTACAATTTAATTCACAATCTTCTATTTCGCGTTCTTAAATTTTATTTCTAAGTTTAAATCATGTTAAATAGAAAATATAAGAGAACCCCGTCAGGCATCTTTGTTTCTTTGTTAATTAGTTTGTAAGATGGTAACAATAAAGTTTGAATTTATAAAGAAATAAATGTTATCTTCAATCTTAATTCTACATTTTTAGTATTTTTACTGAATAATAATAACTAAAGTTTGGAATGTTTTTAAATAATTGTAATACGATATGAATTATATGCATAAAATTAAAACAATAAGAAATTAGTTTTCATTTTTCTAATTAATTAAAAGCGGTTAGACAGGTTTTAAGGACAGACTTCCAGGTATTAAGGACGAGGTGCGGGAAGGCAATTTTCCGATAAAACTATAACTCAGGTCATCGTTATATTACATTGTCGTATATATAACTAGCGTATTATAAATCCCGAAGCAAAAATATCGAAAATTGAAGTATGTAGTACTTAATTTTTTAACTTTTTTATTAAAAGTACTGAAATTTATATTATTCTCATATTATTTGAAAGGTATTGTGCCATAGATATGAAAAAAATCATCACCGTTAAGGTAGATATAATAAAGCAAATATAGTCATGAATTTTTCATATACATATTAGATGTGGTGTGATGTGCATATTAGAGTGGACAGGAATGTGTTATGGCAAACACTGAACTCATATGGGTTGAGCGCTGGTTTGATACAGGCATTGAGGTCTCTTTATAGGGATTCTAGTGCTTGTGTCAGGATCAATGGGGTCTACTCGGACTGGTTTGGCATCCGAAAGGGTGTCAGACAGGGCTGTGTGGCTTCCTCTTGGCTGTTCAACCTATTTATGGACAGTTGTTTGCAAACTTTGCAAGATGAAGAATGTGGGTTAAGAATGGGCGAGTTAACCGTCAAATGCCTTTTGTATGCCGATGATCAAGTCATATTTGCGTCATCGGCGGCTGAGTTGCAAATGATGGTTACATTAATGAACTGGGCATTAAAAGAAAGGGGAATGAAAGTGAACGCAAATAAGACGAAAGTGATGGTTTTTGAAAGAGAGGAAAGCAAAACGGTATGTGAAATAAGAATAGAAGGAGAGTTAATTGAGCAAGTGGACGAGTTTGTGTATTTGGGATGTGTATTTAGCAGGGATGGTAGAATGACGAGAAGTAAGGATATAGAACGACGAGTAAATGCAGGGAATAGAGTGAATGGGGCACTACACTCTATTGTAAAGAACCAGAATGTATCAAAAAAGGCACGTATGGTAATTCATAATGCTGTGTTAGTCCCTAATTTAATGTATGGTAGTGAAAGCTGGGTGTGGCAGAAGAAGCACGAAAGTAGAATAAATGCTGTAGAAATGCGGTCTTTAAGGAGTATGCTAGGGTTGAATCTGAATGACAGGATGAGAAATTGCATGATAAGAGATAAATGTGGTATGCAAGATGATGTTGTGACCAGGATTAAGAAAGGAATGCTTCGGTGGTATGGTCATGTAGAAAGAATGAATGAGGAAAGAGTGACAAAACAAATTTATATGGCAGATGTGAACGGCAGAGTCGGGAAGGGACGCCCTAGAAAAAAGTTTATCGACCAAATTGGCGATATTTTGAAAATGGGCCACGTTAAAAGTACCCTTAACCGACGAGCATGTATGCGTAGATATATGGATGTAAAGGAGGCGAAAGAGGTACGTCAGGATCGTGTCAAATGGAAGTCCGTCGTCTCTGCCTACCCCTCTGGGTGACAGGCGTGAGTGTTTATGCTTATGCTATGCTACATATTAGATTATGCGGTTTATGCGTGGTAGAGCTACGCTGCAGCCATGGAGCCACCATTGAGCCGTCTCACAAATAGGACGGCTCAATGGTGTGTGTAGAGAATCCGACCTTTTTACTGGAAACGAGGCATCCCATCGTTGTTGAAAATGCATCTGTATTTTGATTCTTAATCGAGGACCTCAGCATCCATTTACCATCATGTGAACTATGTTCCTACTTTTCACCCCTATTCTATAACAAAAATCAATTTAGTAACGTTCATAGGTGTCTGATCTAAGATCCCTTTTTGCTCCCTGAACAAAACCTGTTTTCATAAGAATTTCGATCATAGGTGATACTATTACACTCGTATTAAAGCATATTATGGTGAATCACCATCGACTTCAAGATGAATGGTACGAAATGTACGGCATTTTACTTGTTTAAAAAGAATCAAATGTTTTAAGATCGGTATCACGTTGAATTACTTTGACATGGATTTTTAAGTTGAATTGGTTAAATCACAGAAATCTAAATAAT